CGGGGGGGGCAATCTGCAGTTGGAGGGACTCCTCTTGTGTTGTCCCCTGTCCCAGGTTGCTGCGGGTTCAGCTGGGGTCTGTGTCCTCGTCCATCCTCCCTCCGTCCCCTCATGGACAGGCTCCTCCAGGGGCTGCAGCCTTCATTTCCCACCAGGAGGAGAGCAGCCTGCAGGTCCTCCCGCCCCCAGCCTCCTGGGGTCTGCAGACCCTCGGGGTGCCCGATCCCCCTGCCTCCTGCCAGTGCCTCGAGGCAGAGCCTCATGCCTCGGCTGCACCGGCCACGCTACACCTGGCGTGGGGGTGGCGGGTGGCGGGAACCTCACCAGGGTTATGGGGGAAATGGGCCCCCAGACCGACCCCGGCCACCTCTCTGAGCCCGGTGTGGCTCTGCCACCTGCACGCACCCCAGGGTCCGCGGGGGCTCCAGAGCCCTGGAGCGGGTGACACCTGCGGCGTGCCCCTTCTCCCGGTGCTGGGGAGATGCAGTGGACAGACAGACAGACAGACATGTCCCCCTTTCCTAGAACTTGCATCCTGTGGGGAGAAGAGATCGCAGCTGCAGAGAACACTGCAGGAACTTTCACTGTTGTGTGGGGAAGTTGCATTGTGTGACAGAGGAGTGGTGACTCTGGGACGTGACATTTAAGCTCAGTGTGGAATTCCAGAAGGACCCAGCCACTCAGAGATGTGGGCGAGGGCATTGTGGAGGTGGGGGTTCCAGGCAGAGGCCCCTGGGGTGATGGGCTTGGCATTTTCAAGGAACATAAGGGGCCAGTGAGGCCTGGGCACAGGGGGTGAGAGAGCGAGGTAGGGGTGAGGTGGGTGGAAAGCCTGGAAAACAAAGCCTGGAAAACCACAGCGGGCGGGAGACTGAGCTGGACTGGGTTCCAGGGCCGTGAGGAGCCACTGGGGGGATGTGACCTGGATTCACCTCTACAATGAACAAAACATTCGCCCCTTGACCTCACTGAGACAACCCACCTGTGGGCAGTAAGCAGCTGTCACCAGCAGCCGGGATGGGCCCCGGGAAGACCAAGGGACCTGTGTCTTCAGAGGAGCCATGCAGACCCTGAAGCCCCTAATAAAAAGTGCCACCCTCCCTGCCTGAGCAGATCACAGGTGCCTCGCAGGGGCCCTGGTCTAGGGGTGTCGGGATACAGGGGACATTCATGGTACACACCTGTACTGCATTCGAATTGTTTCATACCAGCAGTTCAGTCATTCGAATGTCACCTGCAGTGTGTCTGATTGCTGGGTGAATAGGAAGAAGTGAAACCAGGCTGCTCCGCTGACAGGCTAGAAATCAGGCTAGAAAGAGTCCTCGAAGGAGAGAGGCGGGGGAGGCTGGATGGATAGATGACGGGTAGACGGGAGATGAGCAGATGGGCAGATGGAAGGATGGGTGGGCAGATGGTGTTAGAATCAGTCCCACTTGGCTCAAGCGCAAGCATTGCCAGGTAGCTGTGTGACCTGGGGCCAAAATGCCAACCTCTCTGAAACCAGTTTCCCCACCTGTAAAATGGCCAAGGTAACAGGCTCAGCCAGGTGACAGGCGAGCGATTAGGAATGAGAGGTGGACGGGGCTGGCCCCACCCAGCTGCAGCCTTGGAGACCCTCCCTTGGACCCCCAGGCACTAACAGCTGGGGCCACCCTGCTCACCCCTGAAGCCCCTCCCAGCCCTCCCACCCACAGTCACCCAGTCACAGCAGGAAAGGCTCTGTCGGTGCCCCCGCCCAGGAAGGCCCAGGGCCCTGGGAGAAAGTGGGGCCATTGTCCTGGGCTTGGCAGGAAGCCATCAGCCCACCCAGGGAGGTGCCAGGCGACAGCCCTGGGCCTGTGGGAGAGATTAGTCAGTGAGCTACAGAGCATGTCCTTGGGAGTGGACGGCTGGAGGCCGCTCGTCCAACACCTACCAGACTGTGACCACAGGGCAAGGCCTCGGCCCCCAGAGCCGCGACTTTCTCATCTATAAAACGGGCTGACATCGGTGGGGACGGTACTGTCAACTGCCAGCTACTGCCCCAGCCCTGCTCAGGGTAGGGCTGTTAGGGGGACAGTGGACAGAGGGCACTTCCTCGGTGGGGTAGGAGGCACAGGCCTGCCCGTGAGCCGTGGGTGAGGCCCTGGGCAGTGGCAGGGCCTGGGCAGCGGGGAGGACTGGCAGTCGGACCCCCCCTGTGGCTACCCCTTCTGTTGGAAGGGGACGGGCTGTTTGGGACAGTGCTGTGAGGCAGGAAGGCCAGCCCTGGGCTGACACGCGCCTCGCTTACAGCACAGCTGCGCCTCCTCTGTGTCAAGGTGCTTTGGCTGCAAGTGATAGGAGCCCGGCCGAGGCGGGCGGGGCTGGTCTCCTGGCGGCCTGCTCTCATGGGGGAATAGCTCAGCACCACGCCAGCCATCGCCACCCCCGGAGCCGCGGCGCCACCTGTCTTGCCTGACTGTCCCCTCTCTCTGGGCAGCTCTGGGCTGCCACCCCCATGTGAGTCAGTGGCTACCATGGAGTTCCATCACCAGGGAGGGAAAGTCTGACCGCCTGGCATGGGTCAGGGGCCCACCTCAGGTCCACTCGGCTGGGGCCAGGGTCCTACAGAGCCAATGTGGTGCTGGGCCTGGGGCTGGGGGCGTTCTCAGAGAAAGATGTCTGCCACACCTGGGACGGGCTGCGCTTCTGGCCGGGCCGGTCCTGGCATGGCTTCTCTCCAGCCCCGGAAAGCCGGAGCTTGGCCCAGCAACCTGTGTGGGCCGACGGCCGCCTGCTAACCCTCCTCGTCTGTGTCTGAGATGTCCCCTGAAGGGAGACCTGAGCGTAAGACGGGGTGGCCCCTGCCACTTCGCTCTGACTTTCTGAAGTGTCTCAGGTCCCCTCGTGGGTGGGTGGGAGGACACCCGGCCCCCAGGCCCCCAGGGCTGCCCCTGGTCTCGTTCTGACATGTGACCGTGTGCTCTCCCCTCTTCCTTCCTTCCAGAAGCCCCCCAGCGCCCACGCCATGAAGGAGGAAGCCTTTCTGAGGCGCCGCTTCTCACTGTGTCCACCTTCCTCTGCCCCTCAGAAAACCGACCCCCGGAGACTCACCAGGAACCTGCTCTTCGGAGGAGANCCGAGAGGGACCACATACGTGGAGCAGGTCCACGAGGAGCTGGGGGAGGTGAGAGCCCACCCAACCTGGAGACCCAGCATCAGCCCACACCTGCCCCCCACCTGAAGCAGTGGTGGCAATGCTGACGTCCCCTTGAGGAGAGGTCTGCAGGGTCTCAGGGGCCAGGGGAACACGAGGGCCAGCATGGCCTGGACACAGGAGAGCCAGCCGGGGCCGTGAGGGCTTGGGCTGAGGGTGTTGGGAACGCCACAGGTGGTTTTGCGTAGGGGCCTGCCGGGTCCAGCGGAGGCCTTAGGAGGGCCTGCCGGTGCAAGCCAGACCTGCTCGTGGCAGCCGTGGTTGAGACAAAGCCCAGGGTGCCTTGGACACGGGTAGCAATGGGTAAAGGAGAAGTGAGGGTTCAGATGCATCTACAGGTGGGCGTTCAGGTCCCAGCAGATGGCAGTGCCACCTGTGAGACGGGCACTCTGGGAGAAAGAGCTGGGGGCTAGGCGTGGGGACAGAACTGTGTCCCGAGTTTGGACATCAGGGGGAGATGCCTCTGCAGTCTGGGGCTCAGGGCAGCAGTCTGGACATTAGGGCGTGGAGTGGGCGCCCCAAGAGGCCTGGGGGCCCAGGCACTCCAGCCTTCAGAGGCTGAGAACAACAAGGCTCCTCGGAGGGGCCCAAGTAGGTGGGAGGGAAGCCAGACGTGCAGGACCAGCTGTGCTGCGAGCTGAGCAGCAGAGGGGGTGACTGCTGGGTCAGTAATGGGGATGGGGAGACTCTCCGTGGAGAGGAGGGGGCAGGGTTAATGGGAGTGGGTGGGCTGTAGAGGTGCAGGCTTCTTAGCTGTGGCAGCTGCCCCTGTGGGCCCCAAAGCTGGCCTGGAAATTGAGGCGGGGATGCTCTCAGCCCCACATGGTCACTCATGAACCCCATTCCAGGCCTCATGGGGTTCAGGCATGACTCCTCCTCCAAAGGCTCCCCCTTCCCTAGTTGCCCAGGCATGCTGGCCAAGCGAGTGCCACTAGGCCTCAGCCACAACTGTGCATGCACAGAGAGGCAAAGCGACTTGTCTAAGGCAGCCCAGCAAGGTGACAGACTCCGATTCAGGTCTGGCTGGTGGCAAACCGTTCTGCTGCCACCCTGGCGGTGGCGCCCATCTCAGCCAGGAGTGCAGATGGCTCGGAGTCACCGCCTGCCTCTGTCTCACAGCAGCTGGGAAAGTCATTTGCTTCCTCTGTAAACCTGGGATGAGCAGCGTGACCTGGGGCTGCTTCAGGGAGTAGGTATAGAGAGAGGGAAAGGGAATGTCTGCAGCCCAGGGCCCTCCCTTACCTTCTCCACCCAGCCCAGTGCAGCCACATCCAGGCCAGTTGTGGCAGGCAGACAGTAGGGCCCCGAGGAGGGGAGACGGGCTTGGTGTCGGACCTGGCAATGCCAGTGCGTCTGCTGGGACTTCCTCTGTCCTGTGAACAACCTAGAGAGATGGCCCCGCCTCCCGGACCCTTCCTCAGATCATTCCACCCAGCTGAGGGTTTGCTGGCTAGTGTGGCGTGGATGGTGGACCCCCCCACATCCCCACCCGCTGCCCGAACTCAGGGCCAAAGCCCAAAGCCCCCAGGCTGTCTTTCCACACACACGTTTGGCAAGTGAGAATCAGACATCTCAGGAAAGATAGGAGGAAGGCCCAGGGTGGCTCCCACCTCTAGCCGTGTGACCTTGGACAAGTGAGGGCCCCTTTGTAAAGGAAGTGCAGGCCATAAGCACCTGTGTCACCCACGTCACCTGAGTCACGCGGCAGGTATGAAGATTAAATGGGCACGTGACACCTCCTGCCACAGGCGCAGAGTTATGCAAAGTCCTCGTCTGGGTGTCAGCAGCCAGGATGGGGGAGGCTCCACCCTGGACTNCAGGGACCTGGGGATGACGCCACCAGCCACAGGAAGCGGGCGGGAGTGGCTTTCGGGCAGCCTCTGGCCCCTGAGACCATCCCCCTCTTCCTCCGGCCCATAAACCCAAGCTTTGGGAACCCACTTTATAACAAATGGAGCCAGAGAGCGGCGGTGACACCTCAGGTTCCCTCTCTCCCTCCTCAACCGAGCAGGAGAAGGAAGTGGACACCTGTCAGGGCAGGTGCGGGGTCAGTGTCCCCCACCTCCCTCCCGGAGTCCAGCCCCCAGGGGCAGTGGAATTCTGGAAGAGGATTTGGGACATGGGGGTTAGGGGGCTGGGCGTGATCCAGGTCCCCTGAACCTGCCGTGTGCCTCCGTGCCTGGATACCCCATTCTGCCTCTGAAAACTGGGGGCCTGGCTTTACAGAACCCCAAAGGACACGCCACACCAGTGCCCAAGGTGCCCCAGTTCCTCCCTGCAAGTCGTGGAGGCTGGGCCAGAGCTCCTGGGTCCCTCCCAGCGGTGACAGTGACACTGTGTTGATTAGATCTGTCGGGCAGTGTCGGGCAGCCGCACGGCCTCAGACTGGCTTCCCGCCCCACCCAGGCCGCCTGCCATGCCCCGGGCCTCACCCCCGCTGCTCTCTTGCAGGAAAGGACATGGAGTCCAATGGCTCGTCGCCGCCCAGGGATGAAGGGCCCCCGACCCCAGGCTCTGCCACAAAAGTGCCACCGGTAAGTGTCTGGTGTAGGAGGACCCTAGGGCAAGGGGCGACAGGAAGTGGCTTGGGGAAGGGGGCAGCAGGGGCACTGACAGAGCCTGTCATTCCCAGCCCGCTCCAGGGGGATCAGTTTGAACCCCAGGCTGCAAACCCAAGGAAGGCGGCTGGAAGCAGGGATGGGGCACCGAGGGCTTGCCACTTGTTTCGTCAGAGCCATCTTCTTCTTGGTGTAACGGGGCGGGTTGGCAAGGGGCTGGAGAAGGGCTGTGGGCTGCTAGGTGGCATCCAGGGACGGAAAACCATGATAAAAGGAGGCTGCCCAGCCCCTCTGTTGTGGGGAAACCCACGGAGGAATGAGTGGCTCCTCCCTCTGCCTTTGCCTGTGCCGTTCCCTCTGCCAGGCACGCCCTCCTCAGGGGGCACGGAAGAAAAAGTTTGGAAAAGCTCGCTCACTCAGGCACGCACACACCACATGCGCCCAGGCCAGCCCCTCTCATGCCAGGCCAGTCCGTGCCCCTCCAGGCAGAGCCTTCAGTCCAGGGAGCATGATGAGGCCCGGGGCACCCACTCAGTGTTTTAGGCACACCCTTCCCCACCCAGGGTCTCAGGCCAGGCGGCCACAGTCACTATACACTGATGGCTCTGGCAATGGGGCTAGGGGACAGCACAGAGAGAGGCCAGGCTCTCCCCCTGCCCCGGCCACCTGCAAACCCCTGTGACCTAGACCAATGGCCTTGCTCCTCTGGGACCCCAAGTCCTGGCCTGCAAATGGGGTTAGTGGTGGTTCTGCTGCTCTGTCCCCATGTCCCCTTAGTGAAGAAGCAGCCAGGTCTTTGGTGGGTATCCCCCACCCCACCCCAGCCTGCATTTCCCACCCTCAGCCCCCAGGGCTGCTGGCTGCTGGGAGATCAGTAGAAGCGTGTGTGTGTGTGTGTGTGTGTGTGTGTGTGTGAGTCTTGACAATTAAGTTTGCAGACTTGTTGCAACAATATTACTAACTTTTTTTGACATCAGAGGCATTATTCATTATGAATTTGTACCAACTGGACAAACAGTGAACCAAGTTTACTATTTGGAAGTGCTGGAAAGGCTGTGTGAAAAAGTTGAATGACCTGAACTTTTCACCAACAATTCATGGCTCTTGCATCACGACAAGGCACCAGCTCACACGGCACTGTCTGTGAGGGAGTTTTTAGCCAGTAAACCAATAACTGTACTGGAACACCCTCCCTACTCACCTGATCTGGCCCCCAATCACTTCTTTCTTTACCCAAAGATAAAGGAAATATTGAAAGGAAGACATTTTGAAAACATTCAGGACATCAAGGGTAATACGATGACAGCTCTGATGGCCATTCCAGAAAAAGAGTTCCAAAATTGCCTTGAAGGGTGGACTAGGTGCTGGCATCAGTGCATAGCTTCCCAAGGGGAGTGCTTCGAAGGTGACCATGGTGATATTCAGCAATGAGGTATGTAGCACTTTTTCTAGGATGAGTTCCCAAACTTAATTGCCAGGCCGTGTATATGTGTATGTATGTGGGTGGGTGTGCATATAAGGTGTGATCACAAAATACAGTGAACGCTGCTGCCGAGTGCCACCCAATGGAAAGGCAGGATCTTCAATACAGGAAGTGGTGCACTGAACCTTAGTAACAGTGTGCGACAAGTTTCAACTTGTTTGGGGCAGTCAGTTGGGTGTGAGTTACGGTTGAGAGAAGGTGTGTTTTAAAATGTGCCGTCAATCATCCTCCATCATGACAACGCTCCGTGTCACACAGCGCTTCTGGTGCGGCAATTTCCGTAAAGTAAAAACATTACAGTGTGTCCTCATCCACCTTATTCACTGAATCTGGTACCATGCGACTTCTGGCTCTCCCCCAAAGTCAAAATGATTCAGGACACTGAGGCAGCCACAAAAGCGCAACTAAAGACGCTCACGAAAGAGGACTTCCAGAACTGCTTCAGAAAGTGACAAGAACGACGGGATAAGTGTGTTTGAAGCGAGGGGGAGTGTTTGAGGGGGATTAATGGCCATGTGTCTTTTACTGTAATAATTTTTTTTTATTTTTACATTTACCGGTATTTTTTTATCACACCTCATATGTATATATGTACACACATGTATGTGTGTGTGTGTGTGTCTAGAATTTTTATAGTTAAAAAAAATTTTTTTAATTGCAGTAAAATAAAGATAACACAGAATG